TGAGAAGAGCATCCTGGATGAACCAGACTCTCCACTAGAGGTTAGACTGCTTTAACATTATATGTACATGTCAGTTTTTATTTGAGACACGCTGTTGTTTTGGTAGAACTTACCTGGCATCGCAAATCTGACATTTTGTTGTTATGCTGTTTCATAGTGCCTGGATACTCAAAATATATTTACTTCGCTGTCTCATAGCGTTTTTACCGCCTTGCTACTTTTTTTTTGGACACGGATTGAAAATCAACATCCAATTTGCATTACTGACATTTAAATTGTTCAGGGACAAATGCACAGTTATTTTGTGTAAAAGTTTGAGTCCCTTCATCTTGAAAAGCTTAACGGATTTGTTTTACGACTTACTGCCCATATTCGTAAACATTTTTCTCAATTTATTTTGCACTGATTTTGAACATTCACTGATGAGCTCTCAGCAGAATATATATGGTGAATATTTTTTTACTCTGTATATCGAGTATTGATGCATTTTGTGCGCTTCATTCGTGTATTTCCTTTACATTTTCGCACATAAATGCCCGCAGTCTGGCAAGACTTTTCACGCTGAGGGTCCCTAATCAGACTTTGTCCATTTCAGAACATTGGACAGCGACCCTTTCTGAATTTGCTTCTTGTACTTCTCAGCGTTTCCATACTACATACGGCGACCTGTTTGTACATTATTCAAATTTCACGGTGCTTTTTGTTTTTAAAAAACCTTAAATTACCTTTGCTTGTTTTCTGCTTTTGAATATATTGATCCATCCTTTCAAGATGGCACTGTACAAAATGCAGCTGTCCAAAGATAGAGTGCTCAATAGGTACGTAACAAATAATTATAGGAGGGTCTGTAGTGTATGAACAGGAAAAAAAATCATAATAACATACTATCTACAAACGCAGTCATTCATTTTATTTTATTTTATTTTATTTTATTTTATTTGTCTCCTAGAAATGATTCCTATGTGTTGGATTACTGCAGTTTTCTCATATGAACTCTTAGGGCCGCTGTTGACCAGAGTGTCGCAACTGGCAGCATGTTTGTCGCAGCACCTCCCATGTAACGTCGACATTATAAAGAAAGAACACGACGGGGAAAACGGGACACTGCAGTTACTTGTATTTGGAAAAGAGACGTCGACTTCCAACATAAAATTTTTCTTTGTGTGGATTATTCGGGAGCCAAAATAACGTGCGATGCGGAGTTGTGAGTAATTTATATGGGATATAAACCTTGAATCTCACCGTGAAAATCGAACAGAACAATGGCAAGGCAAGTACTGCTGTTTGTGTCTCTGCTCTCCGTCAGCTCGGTGCTCGGGCAGGTCAGCTACACGATTCCGGAGGAGTTGCCTAAAGGATCTTTAGTCGGTAATATCGCACAGGATTTAGGTTTAGATATTAAACGTTTGACTTCAGGTAAAGCACGAATTTATACTCGAGACAGCGACGAGTACATCGAGCTGAACAGAGAAAGAGGAGTCCTCCTTGTTAAAGAGAGAATCGACAGAGAGGCGCTCTGCAGACAGACGACGCCGTGTGCTTTACATTTTCAGATTATTTTAGAGAATCCGATGGAGTTTTATAGTGTTACAGTGCAGATCACAGATATTAATGATAATGCACCAGCCTTTGAAAAGGGTGAACTTATTTTTAAAATCAGTGAGTCAGCTGTGATCGGGGCAAAATTTGTTCTCGAAAGAGCTGTGGATCTTGATGTAGGAGTCAATAGTATTCATGGATATCAATTGAAACCAACAGATAATTTTGCTCTGAAGCTGCACAATAACCCTGATGGAAACAAAAACGTTGAGATGGTGCTGCAGAAGCCTTTAGACAGAGAGAAACAGGAGCAGATATCTCTGGTGTTAACGGCTGTAGATGGAGGAGAGCCGCAGATGTCAGGAACGATGCTGATTGTCATCACAGTTTTAGACGTTAATGATAATGCTCCTGTTTTTACACAGCAAACATACAAAGCTACAGTCACTGAGAATTCACCAAAAGGAACCGTTGTTGCCACAGTCACAGCCTCAGATGCAGACCAGGGNGGTGTAATGAACAGAAAGGGCCGCTATTGACCAGAGTGTGGCAGTCTTAGATCGGGCTTGCAAATGTACCTCCCCCTTATATTGCGACCTGGTAGACAATAAAACACACACTAACCGCCTGCTCTCGCTTAAATGGAAAACTGCACACGGAAACCAACGGCTGCTATTTTTTGCTGAACATGTCTTTGAGACACTTTCGGAATTTATAACAATATTCACATGGATTACAGTTTTATTCAAAGAACAAAGGAATCCGACGGCGTAGCAATGAGACGGCAAGTACTGTTGTTCTTCTCGGTTTTCTCCGTCACATCGGTGCTCGGGCAGGTCAGCTACTCCATTCCCGAGGAAATGGAGAAAGGTTCATTAGTTTGTAATGTAGCTCAGGATTTAGGTTTAGATTTGAAAAGGCTCAAAACGGGCAGAGCTCGAATTCATTCTGGAGACAGTGCAGAATATATCGAGCTGAACAGAGACAGGGGTGTCCTCCTTATCAACGAGAGAATAGACAGAGAGACGCTTTGTGGAGAAACGACGCCCTGTGCTTTACATTTACAGATGATTCTGGAAAATCCCATGGAATTGTTTCGAATAACAATAGAAATCACAGACATTAATGACAATGCTCCCAGCTTTGCATCGAGCGAGAAACGTTTTGAAATCAGCGAGTCTGCCGTCATTGGCTCTAAATTTCTACTGGAGAAAGCTATCGATGCTGATATTGGTACAAATGGTCTCCAAAGCTATTCTCTTAAACCAACAAACAACTTCGCACTAAAACTAGAGAATCAGGCAGATGGAAGTAAAAAGGTAGAAATGGTTCTACAGAAGCCTCTCGATCGAGAGCAGGAGGAGCAAATAACGCTGTTGCTGACTGCTCTGGATGGCGGACAGCCGCGTATGTCAGGCACAATGCAGATCAACGTTAAAGTGTTGGATGTAAACGACAATGCACCAGTTTTCACTAAGCCAGTATACAAAGCAACGGTAATGGAAAACTCCCCGAGGGGAACTAGCGTTCTAACTGTTAGCGCATCTGACAAAGATGGAGGCTCTAACGGAGAAATATCATACGCCATTTCAAACAGCAAGCGTCGTTTATCCGACCTGTTTCAGATAGATAGAACAACTGGAGAGGTTATCTTGATCGGTGAAATAGACTATGAAAAAGCAAAGCTTTTCCAAATAGATGTCGAGGCTACAGATAACGGAGGGCTGTCTGATTCTAGCAAGATTCTAATTGATGTCACTGATGTTAATGACAACAGTCCTCAGTTGAAAATACTGTCTAAATCAGATGTTATTTTAGAAGACTCTCCTGAGAATACTGTAATTGCTATGCTAAGCGTAAATGACCCTGACTCTGAAAGAAATGGCGAAGTTAAGTGCAATATTAATGACGACATTCCTTTTAAAATACAAAACACAATGAATGGATTTTATAGTTTAGTAACAGAGGTAGCTTTAGATAGAGAAGCGGCTCCGCAATATAATATAACTGTGACCTGCTCTGATGAGGGAGTGCCCTCCCTCTCCAGCAGCGTCACTCTCACCTTACAGATCTCTGATGTCAATGACAACGTGCCTGTCTTTGNATGGATCCGAGTTGTACAGGAACGATGCAGCGGATGCAGAGTGAGAAGAGCATCCTGGATGAACCAGACTCTCCACTGGAGGTTAGTTTCATGAAACAAAACATGACTGTATCTATCTGTTATGTGGCATACTACACTGGGGTTTTGTGAAAGCTTGGAATCACAGTGCAGTGCACTGATGCTTTCTTCCACAGCCATTTCTCTATCCTTACAACCACTTTTCTTTAACAGTTTCATCATACATACTCTATAGCAACATGCATGTCATCCTATTGTTTGCAAAATTCAGCAACATGCAAGTTTTGTCCCTCTTAACTTAATCTGTACATACCTGGTTTAGCCAACTTTTGGTATAGTTACAAATTTGTAGCATTTCACTGTAGCAGATACTTAAAAACAGCATTAAATGCTTAAAATAAAAATAATAGCATGTATAAGATGGGCTTTGCAATGGAAGCATATATAACAGGTGAAGAAATATGGCCAATCATTTCAATACACTTAATTACGTTATCCCTTTACTGCAAAGATACAGCATCATGTCAGTGCTTCTCGTGGGCATTTTGTTAATTTATAGTAATAAAGCCTTATAACATACTTCAAGGTAATGCTGTGTTTTATTGCTAAGGACTTGGTGAATGACAATAGTTTGTTAATGGAAGCGGCATTGTACGAGATTGAGAAATATAATCTACAGACAATGATTCCAAGGCAGTCAGTAAGCTTGTGCCTTTCTTTATTTTTTGGTATTTTATTTGTCCTTTCTGGAAGTAAATATTGTTTGACTGTCTAACATATCATCTTGGTGTTCATTGCTGCAGAGTTAGTTTAATAAGTTGCTGAAGTTGAGGATGTTTTTTCCTTGTGGTCAGTTTATGTTTTTTTGCTACCAAAAGGTTATAAATTACAGAACATTTAAGTAATGTACCATGGCGTGGTTTGATCTTTCTGTAGCTTATTTCCCTGTAGGAGAGTCATAAATTCGGTCAACACTATGATCTGTTTCTGTGTTTAGAATTCAGTGTTAGTTTTGCATTCAATTCCAATATTCTTTTTGAGATTTAACTGTTTGTTTATCAACACAGCCTGTAGTTTTTGTACTAGTTAAATGAAGAAACTACCTACTCACCTCAGCAGTTGGACTCCCAAGCCAGGTGTTAATGTCCCAGAAGTATCTTGTGAACTGAGCAGTTAAATATATAATTTCTTCTGTAGGGTTAGTAATCGCTCGAGAATTACATAGGCTTATAAGAGCGTGCAGTTGTGTAAAGACTGAAAATCAGATTTATTTCTTCATATTGAACCTCCTTCTGTAGCTCTCTGCAGTGCACGTCTTTGGACTCTCAGGGCCGCTGTTGGCTAATGTAGAGCTTTATCCCTTTATTTGATACCTTAAACAGAGAAAGAGACACACATTCAGCACACAAGCGTCGTTGCGGAGGACCGGAGATATCCGCGCTGCGATTCATTTGTTTCGTATTCAGGAAACACGAAGATAATACGTTTTCGCCTGGAATACTTTGGAATAAAAGGGAACGTGACGCTTTGGAATATTACTGTCTTTGAATCTGCTTTATTCGTCGAAGATAACATGTCGGGCAGAACAATGAGATGGCAAGTACTGCTGTTTACGTCGATTTTTTCCTTCAGTTCAGTGTTCGGGCAGGTCACCTACTCCATTCCCGAGGAAATGTCCAAAGGCTCTCTTGTTGGTAATATAGCGCAGGATTTAGGAATAGACGTGAAAAGACTGAAATCAGGCAAAGCTGGCATATATACAGAGGACAATGCCGAGTACGTGGAGCTGAATAAAGACAGAGGAGTCCTGCTCGTTAAAGAGAGAATCGACAGAGAGGCGCTCTGCGGACAGACAACACCTTGTGCTTTACATCTTCAAATCACACTGGAAGACCCGATCGAATTTTACACCGTTACAGTCGAAATTAATGATATTAACGATAATGCACCCAGCTTCAAAAAAGATGAGATGAAATTTAGAATTAGTGAGTCGGCTGTGATTGGAGCCAAATTTGTGCTGGAGAGAGCCATGGATCTAGATGTGGGTGTAAACGGACTCCAGGGTTATTCGCTAAAACCTACAGACAACTTCCATCTAAAACTCCACAATCAGCAAGATGGAAGCAAAAAGGTGGAGATGATTTTGCAAAAACATCTAGACAGAGAGGCGCAAGAGCACCTCTCTTTAACCCTCACAGCTACTGATGGTGGAGATCCTCAGCTGTCGGGAACAATGCGAGTAGAAATTTCAGTGCTAGATGTTAATGACAATGCTCCAGTATTTACGCAGGAAATTTACAAGGTTACAATAATGGAGACTGCTCCAAAAGGTACAATTTTGAGTGCCGTTCGTGCTGTAGATGCAGATGAAGGTTCAAATGGAAAAGTGTTGTATTCAATAACAAACACGTTAGATGACGTGCCCGTTATGTTTAAAATTGCCGAAGATAGCGGCGTGGTTTCCCTAATTGGAACCTTGGATTATGAAAAGACACAGCTCTATGAAATACACGTACAGGCCAGTGATGATGGAGGACTGACAGATTCGTGCAAGATTATTGTTGAGGTGACCGATACAAACGATAATCACCCATCTATTAATATCATGTCCAAAACGAGCTCCATATCAGAAAATTCTAAGCCAGGTACTGTGGTAACTATATTTAATGTTCAAGATCCAGACTCCGGAGAAAATGGCAAAGTTGCATGCATTATTGAAGAACACATGCCTTTTCTGATGAAAACAACGTCAAAGAAATTTTTCAGTCTTGTGACAGACAGTGATTTAGACAGAGAGAGAGCCTCTGAGTATAACATCAGTGTGACCTGCTCTGATGAGGGAGTGCCCTCCCTCTCCAGCAGCGT